TTTGATCAATAACAAATTTAATACCTGATGAATTATATCGGGAGTCCATGACGCATGCTAACGGAAATAACATGTGCAAGTCTTCCCAATATTTTCTAAATTTTAATTCTATGGAAAATATAACTGAACTAAAATATGGGTCATCTTTAAATCTATGAAAAACCATAGCAATTATATACAGACGTTCAAGGATCATGCAACTAGTAGGATAATAAATACCAAACAAAATATTTGTAGAATCATAAAAACTTGTCAATTTTTTTTTTTTAATTTTAAAAACTAAATGCCAATCATGCTCATTTAAAATTGTATTGTCGTCGTCTCTCATAGGTCTACTGTTATAAAATTCAGTAATTAAATGTTCGAAACATTCACATGATTTTAATAATAAGTACGTGGAGTTTCATTTATACCCTACCTCACTAATAAAGGTTTTTGTATGAGACACCCCAACGTACCTCGATTGAATAAGGTTTTGATAGCAAAAATTTTGACATCATAAGGTTATACACATTTATCAGGGAACATATGTGGCTCAAATGAGAGATTGTTGGGTTTATTAATTAATCATGTGAGCATACATATGTAATTAATTATGTATAGGGCTATCTTAAAATTGAGCTCAATTAAAGTGACCTAATAAAGAATTTAATTGTTGGATTTAGAGAATCTCAATAAAGTGTGTGCTAAATTATATGTGTAGATGCTATATTCCTTGAAAATTGTATTTCATGATGGACGAAATACTTATGGATATATATAGGGTTATGGTCCGCAATTCATATGTAACTTTTCATTTTTTATGTCATCTCATCAACACAATAATTAACAAAGAAATCATATTGAAAAAAAAAGATCCAAAACTCATAATCAAGAATCAAGAAGAAGGACTGGAGCAATTAAATTGAAAAACAAAACGATTAAAATTATGGAACAAGAAACCAAAATCAAGATCAAGAACTAAAATAGCCAATAATCAAGATTCAAGATCTAAAATCAAGATCTGGTATTAAAACTTCATTCCCAAATAATTAAGGTACGTTTCGTATTATTAATTTTCTTGATGATTTGACATGAAGAATCTTGACAATAACACAACTAGATTTTAAAATTTTATAAAATTTAAAGTTCTAACATTCTCATATCCACGTGACTAAGAAATTTAGAGGTTGTTCTCTTTGTGTTTCAATTTTAAATTTTGAGTTTTGAATTCATTTTATGTTTTGTGTTTTGAGTGTCTATTTTGAAATTGTTGAAAATGCGTTCTTTTTGTTATTTTGAAAAACTGTTTCTCAAAACATGAAAATAGAAAATGCGTTTACTTTGAAATTTTGAGAATATTTTTTTTATAATATTTTATTTAAGAAATTTGATTATTC